CAACACGATATCTTACTGGAGCTAAGGTCTCTACCTCCTCAGCATCCTTCGCTCTGCCCACCAGCACATAAAAAATCTCATCTTCATGGGTAACAACCTGCCTACGTAGCTCATATCTGAGTCCGAGAGCAAATTTACGACATTGATCTCTCTCAGTAGGTACCATACTGAATCCATACTTTAACAGCTTCAAGAACTCAATCTCATACTCAGAAACGGTCATGTCTACCTGTACCAGGTCCTAGAACTGCTGTCGTCTCTAAGCTAAATAACGCTCTCCCAAAAAACGGCTCCTAAAGCGTTCCTTAAAGAAATCCCAAGTCAAACGATCAGCCGAAACACTACTGACTCCCACCAGGTGTGGGCATTGCCATCTAACATCGGTACTGCACCCAGATATCTCTTAGTTGGATCTAAACCCAACTGATCCATGCGTCTTTCTATATCCTGGAGCCAATCTTTTGCTTCAGTAAGAGGTCCACCAATCTGTCCTCCAAAAGTTCTGACTCCATTGGCAATAAGAGTCTGAGAAATAGGCACCTCGGATCCAACACCAGCAGCTCTGACCGCTCCCTGAATCAGCTGTAGAAATTGTCTACCAAAATTCTCATCAGGTGTAACTCTGGTAGAATCAGGCTCAATATCAGTCGCTCATATGATCGGTGTAGTCATGCCAATACCAACGGCATGAGGCAAATTCATCGGGGTCGCAGGAGCATGATCACTTGTCGGAGGTGGGGGATCTACTCGAATCTCATCGATTGGGTTTACAAATCTAGCCATTCGACCTCGTCCACGGCTAGTTCAACGTCCAAGTCTAGCACTCATTTTGGTAGATATCTAGTTTACTATATAAGGTAAAACTTAAGGTTAGATAAGCACTTGGAGTATCTAACACAATTAAAATCGTAAAAACTTTGAGACATGGCCTTAGCAACTTATTTTGTAAAATATTTCAAAACCGTATTTTCAATTTGGACTCATACACAACCCGAGGTTTAAAAACCAAAAGCTCTGATACCAATTAATTGTAACCCCATAGACCCAGCCTATGCATTTCGACTAAGTCTAGTGGATCACATTCATGATTCTTAAAGACATTTTTCTGAAACCGTTATTCTATCAACGAAAAATCATACTTATAAATGACATTTATGAAATTATAATAAATTATACTATATAAAAAAATCAACTCATAATAATGAGAAAAATAACAATTTAATTAAAACATGTCTTTAAAAATCCAAATTACAATAAACCAATATAAATTAGCAAAAGGAGTACTCATTATAAAATCCAATACTTTTTAAAATAAGGCCCATGTTACCATAATAGAGTCAACTTAAAAGATAAAACATTACAATACGATATACTTCAAGAGATATGTTGATCCTCTAAGTGCTTGATCCGAGTATCTAACCTACAGTATCTAAAAGGGAAAAATATTTTCGAAAAATGAGCTAGGCTCAGTGTGTCCCAATAGTACAATAAAATCATAGTAGGTACAGTAAATAAGTAATAGTTCAGAAATTCATCATCAAACCATAATGAAGTTTAACTTTTGAAACTCGTAATTTAAAACCCTTCTCCTGTACACCATCCGCAAATCCCCAGAATTGCATCCATAGGGCTTACCTTAAGCACACAGCAAAAAGGAAGCCAACCTAAAGTTAGGCTTTGGGGCCTGTATCCTTAAGTCCGTAAGTCCGTAGGGCTTACCCTAAGCACACAGCAAAAGAAGCCAACCTAATGAAGCATCTTGAGGCCGTGAGCCTACCCAAGAGTCACATTAGGTCTATAAGGTTTACCAGCTTGATCAAAGTTGTATCTCCGTAATGCAATCCAACCCAAAATCAGTATTTCAAAAATACTATTTATGCAGTAAGCATAATTTCCATAATTTCATAATCAATATTATCATATACCAATGAAAACCAATCATATATCAGTCATATTCCATAAACCATCACCAGTAAATAGGTGGATTAATAAAACATTAAACCATAGCTTTCAATGTACCATATTTCAAAACATATAAAACAATCAAGTAGTACACATGGAACACACCTCGACAATAGGTTCAAATAGTAGATCTAGTGATTATTGGCCTCGTCACACTCTGCTACTGTTTTCGAACCTAATCCATAAAACACTATATTACTAATGGGTAACAAAATTACTTTCTGAAATCATAAAATTTATGGGTCTTACGGGTGAATGCTGGCACACGCAGCTTAACTGATATAGAGGAGCTGGGTCGAGCTGTCGAACGGTCAGGAGAGTCTCTTATACCTTCAAACCTTAATAATTTATCAGTCCCAAGTCTTACTCAACCATTCAAAGCTTAAACTATTTAGTACATAAGCATTTTTTGGGTTTGACTATCAATTTAGAAGCTTTGAGTTTGAATTTGACCAAACGGAGTGCGGAATCATAATCAGGACGTCGAAAAAATAAAGTGTGACTTTTCAAAAATTCAAATTATTGGTCAAAATCAAAGTCAACAGTTTTGACTAATGATTTGGAGGCCTTACGGTTCGAATTTAGCAAAACATACTTCGGAAACGGATTCGGCACGTCGAAAAATGTCAGAATAGGTATACTCGAACAAAATCAAATGTCGTTTAATAATCGTTTAAAGCCGGTCAAAGTTATGGTCAAATGGGTTCAATAGTCCACATTCGAAAATTACAAAAATATCACATTTATTAAAAATAAATACCAAAATATCACCGTTTTATAAATAATTAACAGAATGTCATCTTTTATAAAAAATTCCCAAAATGTCATTTTTTTTTAAAATAATTCTCAAAATGTCACTTTTTTTTTCAAAATAATTTCCAAGATATCACTGGGTCGGGTCAGGTCAGACCGGTAAACCCGGTTCAGGCTGGTTTGGACCGGTCAAGCCGGTCATAACATCACCCAGCCGTTCGCATCTTTCCTCACGCGCAGGGACGACGCGTGGGGGCGCGTGAGACCTCCTCCGGTCTCCAAAAATTCCTGCAAAAATTTTCATAAATTATTTTAAGCGATTTTAAGTCACTTACCAACATCGGTTCAAATTTTTGAACGGTGAAGAGCTCGATTTCAACTTAATCGGAACTTTGACCGCTTCACCTCCCTCAAGCGCAGCAGCCTACGGAGATAAGGAGGACACCGTCGGACTCGGAACGTCACAAGGAACATGATGGTGCGGGAGGTGTCGAAAACGAATCAACGATCGGAGATGAATTTAAGATTTTCTCGGTGATGGTGCTAAAAAAACGTCGAGACTTTGACTCAAAATTCATGTCGTTTGGCAGCGTTTCGCTAAAATTGGTTTACTGGGTTTTGTTCACGGGTTGAAGATGAACACGACGGTAGTTTCAATTTTACGATTGGAAGTCGGAAAACGTCGGAATCAACTTGAAAATGAGGGTACGGAAGAGTAAAATTTAAGCAATTGTTTCTGGTATGAAACCAAAAAAACACGTACATGTTTATGTTTAAAAGCTGCCGACATTCCTTGGTTAAATTCAGGATTGGTCACTGAATTTCTTTTACTTCTAAAATGACATATAAGTTTTCATAAATTTTAATTTAGTCACTAAATTTCACCGATTTAAACTTCTTTTTTTTCTTCAATTTTTTCGGGTTGTTACAGAACAGAGTTCCAGGGTCGGAAAATAACACTCCAAGACAAAGCTCGTGCGGCTTTCATGTTGAAACATTCAGACGACAAAGATGCAATGGTCCGGCAATAAGTTGAGAAACTCCAGGATAATGCAATTGGCGGCGGAGCAGCTACTACGATTTGCATGATTTACAACGCCACCGGCGACGCGTTAAGACTGGAAACTTACCGCAATTGGTCCGGCCATGTCGGATCCATCCCTTACCCTCCATTCATTCAAAATGGACAGTGGGTTGTGTTTGTGCACATAGGAGCTAAAACCTCGGCCGGAGCTGTTGTTTATCGAGGCAAAAACGAGGACGGGAAAAACCACGACTGGATGCAAGCCTGGACCAATAATACGAATTATAATAACGTATATATGTGTGTTGGTAATTTGTTTTATCTACTTTTGTGAGTTTTTATCTTGACCCGATATTTACAGGCTTTTTCAGAAGTTCGTGACGTTGGACACTGGAAATTTACCGGTGGTGATGATACTTGGGTATTGTCTATGAGAAAATGAACAAGTCCAACTTGATGAACATTGAAGCCTATGGAGGAGGCTACTCCATCGTCGTCATTGGCAATGCTCCTAACTCGGTCTTTGAGGCTGTTCTCACCCATCCCAAATTATGCTAGGAAACTAAGGCTTGATTCAATCAAGCTTGTTCCTTTTTTTTTTCTTCATATATTCGTATTTGATTCGTGTTCATTTAAACTTTTTAATATTATGGTCATATATGTTTATTGATTTTTGAAGTTGTACGTGGCAGGTTGTTTATTGTACAAGAACATGTTATTTTAATGTTAAGAATGCTTGTGTTTATTTATATGTTCAAAAATGACGATATTATGCTGCTAGTATTTTAGAGCTTTACGTTTCACACTTTAAATCCTAAAGTTCAGTTTGTATTCAAATTAGTTTATGCCTCTATTGATACTTGAAATGTAAAAAAAATATAAAAAAATGAGAACCGAGAAAATGAGTTTATAAATAAGTCTGTTTGTGAACATAAATGAATGAAACACATATTTAATTATGTTTGTTAATTTATTATATAACATAAATTTTTATTCATATTTTTTAATTTAATAAATAAAGCTTAAGTAAAGTTTTTTGAACAGTTAATCAAATGTTATGTTCATTTACAACTTTAAATGAAAATAATATCATGTGATTAAAGTTTGAACTGTATTTTGATTTTATATTATTTTTTGCATGCTTTTATTTAAATTTTAATCAGAAGTAATTTAAATTATCCCAAAATCTGGATCTGAATTTAATTCCAACAATTCGATCAATAGATTCCATCATATTCGAACCACTATAAAATGACTCCAATATAAATATTCATTGTTATTGTTAAGTTCAGAACAAACTATTACTGATCAAAGATCCCAATAACAAGAAAATCAAACAAAACACAAAAGATAGCACACTGACGTGTAAAGGAATGCGACCCTTATCCCTCCTTATAACCATCCCCTCAATTACTACATAATTCATGACAATTATGTAAACCGACAGCAAAACTTGTCCCAACATTTTCTTCCAATCACCTCCCATGAACAACATCCTCCAAATCCCACCAGCAACGGATGCCAAATTCACTAACATTATCGTAACCAACGGTACGATGAAAATGGTTGATGCCCGGAAATCGAATTTACCTTCCCGGTATAGCTCGATTTGATCATCGTCGGCGACTTTGTTGGTGGTCATAAAACTGGCTTTCCTCAGGCCGAGTTTTTTCAGTATGGCATCTAGGCTTCCGTATAAGTGGCATGTGACGGATTTTATCATCCATATCCGTTGTTCGTTGATCCATTTCCGAATCGGCCTCCCGGACTTGAGGACCTCGTGTAGATGCTTAGATAGGGATGATAAGAAAATGAGCAAGAATACACTGAAATACGGATCGGAAACCTGTAATATGAATATATGTTGTCATAAACACGATATGAATACATAAATATGTTGAAATTTATATGATATGAATTGTTTACCTCAGGATACAAAGGGACGCCATTGAGGAGATAAAGAGGAGGGATGGTGGCAAAGCACCAAAGAGGTAGGCAATAAAGAAGAGGGAACAATGAAAGCTCGGCATAGCCCATCGAATGAAGGAACGATGTCCTCGGTGGTCCGTACAAGAGTGGACTAAACCTCGAGATTGCAACATCAACCAACCCTGCCCCCCATCTTATTCCTTGAGTCAATAATTCATTCACATTCGTCGTTGAAGTTCCCAAGAATTGTGGCCTTCTCGTCGACGATGGAGCGACATAGGCCGATGTCCAGCCATTGCATTGCATAACGAATCCGGTGAGGTAATCTTCCGCTACTGCATCGTATAGAAAACCTACCTGCAACATACAAAATTTTACCTTATGTCATTGTTATAAGAATTTTACCTATTTTTTGGATTCGAATCCCTAACTTATTGAATGCAATGTCATAAAGGTAGCTGCATGAAATATTATGTACTTGCCTCTTTACCCCATTTTGTGTGATTTTCATAGGAACAAGAAGCTAAAACTTTAGCCTCTTTAAGCAACATGTTTGAAACTTCATCACCATTTAAATTAGGCTTATTGTAGTCTCGTTGGATCGATTTGATGAACTCGTTGGACGGGCCGAAGGAATCCTTAAGTTCTCGAAGCTCAATATCTGCTTGTTTTGCACAATAATAAGAACCTTGAACACCAATCGTAAAATAAATATGAATAATATCGAGAAAAAAATGAATCGGTCCCATACCCTTTTGAATAGAATGGCAACATAAAGCCTCCCTTTTAATATAGAAATTTGTACCAGAAAGTACTGGTCCTTTCAGTCCATCCAAACCAGGCCATGCAATCTGCAATAACTCATTCAACATTTCAATTCCATATCCATCATTCAATTTTTCGACTTCCATATATATATATACACACACATACATACATACCGTGTATGCCGATCGAACTTCGCTGTCGTAGATATCATTTTCGCTTATGTTGTGGAATGCCTGCGGGAACTGCACAAATGCAAGAGAAGGAGACATCTGAGGATCAAAGTGGAAGCACATTGCTTGCCTAGCTGAGGTTGGATCATTGCAGTACATGTCGCAGTCAAGCATCAGAATGTATGGGGAGTTGCTCAACACCGCGGAGACCCGAAGCTGCATGTTAAGAAACAAGTCATTCGTACGCAGATTCGAACAATTGTATATGTGTGTATATATATATGTGTGTGTGTGTGTGAGAGAGAGAGAGAGTTATACAAGGGTATTGACGGCTCCGGCCTTGAAGTGGTGTAAGTGAGGAGTCCTTTTTTCACGAGAAACATAGACAAGGAGAGGTATCTCTGTTATTTCACCTTCCTGCAACCCCTCTTTGGAATCTTCTTGTATTACCTGCAAAAATCGAAAGAGTTGAATCTGCACGTAAACTGAAAGAGTTGATTCTGCACGTAAACTGAGCTGTTTCGTCATTCGTCTAATCATCTTTATTATAAGATAACATGATTGAGGTGCAAATACCAAATTGCAACCACAAATCATCTGAATCGCTATCATTTTCATACTTTTCTTAAAAGTCATACAATGTTCGATCATTAATCTCAAGCATGCCAACGTCACAGTATATATATATATATATATATTGTACACGTGGACCATATACGTACCTCAATGCAAGATGGGTGATTGCTTGCACTGCGAACGTCTTTGTCTTTGAGTTTACATTCTTCTCCAGCTCTCCTCACGCGTTCCTTGAACAACTCATACTGTTCCTGCAATATTATATCTGCTGTTAATATTTGATTACAATAACATCTGTTACACTTACATCCACAACAACAAACCTTAGTTTTTTGCTTTTCTTCTATGAAGTCCGAGTTTTTTGATTCGGGATGGTGATCGTTGGTTCTCGAAAAATAAACGTCGGGGCACCGAGTTTCGATATCAAACCTCCTGCAAAACGGAAGCCAAAACTTTGCAAATCTCCAGGCTTCCCTCATAGCATGTAACGTTATAGCATAACCACCATCATCAGAAAGATAAACACTAAGCTTATCCGGTGGATAATCGAGCGCCATAGCAGATAACAAAGTGTTCATCACACCGATCGTCGGCTCCTTATTCGGATCCGTGGTGCAAATGAAGACGTCAATGGGCGGAAGCTTTTCGTCACTCGGCAACCTCTCCGGGAACACTGTGCGGTACACAGGGTTCCAATCGTAAGCACGTCCGAGGAACCATATGAAAGAAAGAAGCAATTCGGAGGCGAAAACGAAAACCAATGGTACAGCGGGTGCAGCTCTGGTTTTGGGGTCTTGGAAGAAGAAGGATACCCTGTAGTGTATGAGGAAAGCTATGGCGATTGAATGGAGGACTGCATGTGACCGATTGATGATCGTTGTGAGCTTGTTGCCATGGCAGATATGGAGTGGGAGAGAGCTTGAGCTTGAGCTTGCCATGGGTGTTCAATGGTGCTGTGTTTTAGTTCGAGAAGGGAGAAATCTGATTGATTTATAGGTGAATTGAAGTGAGATTTGCGTGAGGAGGAAGGTAAAGAAACAGGGGAGCAACGAAGAAATTTCTTACAAAACATGAAGTGACACATGGTGGCGTCTAAGTTCACTGCATGTGGGCATGAAGAGATAGGATTTTTTAGGATTTCCTCGAAATTCTTCAGGGACCTTTTACCTAAATATCATCGAATAAATTTTTACTTTTTTCCCCAAAATAGGTTAAAGTACACAAATGGTCCCCCAATTATAGGGTTCTACTTTGTCGAGTCCTCTAACTATTAAAAATCATAAGAGGATCACCTAACTATTCATATGTTCCAAATTCGTCATTTAAAAAAAAAAAATTGGCGATTGTCTGAGTTGGACATTAACCTTAGAAAATGGTCACCTGACTATTTTGAAGTTAAAATAAATAATTTGAGAAATAACTTAGAATGATAGGGTGAAATAATTTAAGAAATTAAGAAAAATTTAATCCTTAATATTATACATTTGGTCCTTAATATTTACCATCTTATTAGAAGATTAAATTTATTGAATTAAATTAAAATTAAGACTAAATTGATAGAATATGTAAATATTAAGGATTAAATAGTTAGATGATTTAATTGACAAAATTTTAAAATCAGTAATCAAAGTAAAAAGGGCCAATAGTTAAATGGTTATACGAATAATTTGCCCTATATGTTTTGGTATAAAGGAGAAGTAGATGATCTATAATCTTAAAATGTCTTCGTCGCTAATTCCAGTAAGCAATAGGGGAATTAAGATTCTAGGTGGCTTTTCCAGCATCATTAAATCCTCTGTTTGATTATACATCAAGTTTACAAGGTCGTTGAGTGATTATCAACAATCTCACCGTTTAAGGTTTCATGCATGATAAAATAAAAAAATTGACTCATGTAGAGGCAAAGCATCAAATTTCTTTAAATATAAATACCAACAGAAAATCTATGGAAATGGATCCAAGTTCACAGAATACAAATATTCTGATAATCAATATAAAAAAAAATATTATACATTTACATTGCTACAGTGGCAAAAGATTAACGTTACTTGCAAGTCTTGATTCTAGGTTAGATTCTAAGTTCAACCTTGGACAACTCCTGTCCTTACATTCTAAAAGTCAACTCATAATGAACTTTTGGTTAGCATATTTCGGTTTGAATGTGAAGCAGTCACCAGAATCGTTGAATGAAGCCGATCCGACGGAAGACGTCCGAGACAATTTCATTGGAGCCAATCTTCCGAAAGACAGTAACAGAGCTACAAACACTTGCAAGAATTCTGAAAAAAAAAAACAACAAACGAAGAGAAAAAGAGAACTTGTGAGATGTTATAACAAAGTAACTCATTTTCTGGGAATAGGAGAATTGTAAGTTTTAAGAGTGACTTAACAGACATCTTAAAGAAGAAAATGACCTCAAATTTGTAATAAGATCAAGGCAATCATGCATTAACCATTCACTGGATTGTTAATAGCACTTTCAGAATCATCTTAAAAGTTTCCAGCTTTTAGAAATCCATGCAGCAGAAGCACAAACATTAGAGATCATACCAAAATTGCATATCAGCTACAAGATTCAAACTTCATCAGAAAAACAATTAAGCACATTGTGACTAAGTCACTAATTACTACGCAACAAAGTGGTTGATACTTACCTCTAAGCCTAATCCACAGCAGCTTTACCCTTCTTCTTCTGCTCCACCATATACTCCTGAACCCTCTCAGCTTTCTTCCTCATGCCCTCAATCATATCCTCTGTAGCCTCAGTTATCTGCTTCGGCAGATGAACCGCCAAGTAATCAAACCACTCCCTTAATGTTATCTTCTCCAAATCCACCTCTACTCTTTCATCACAACTGTCCCTAACTTTATTCTTCATTTCATCACAGCTCTCCTTAACATCAATTCTAGAAAACTCCACTTTCTCTTCATCTTTTCTTAATTGAATTTCTTTGTTTTGCAATGGATTAAGCTCTTCCTCCTTATCCACTTCATCTTTTATTGCTTCTTCGTTTTGCAATGGATTCAATGCCTCTTCATTATCCACTTCATCGTTTATCACTTGAATTCTTTGCAATGGATTCAATGCCTTCTCGATATCCACTTCATCTTTTATCACTTGAATTTCTTCGATTTGCAATGGATTCAGCGCCTCCTTCTTACCCACTTGATAATTTTCTATCAAAATTGTTTCTTTTTCCTCTAATTTATCTTCCTGCTCGTTCTTTTTTCTCCCCCGAGGGAGGCCTTTCCCTCGTTTTGCCGCGGCTTCCTGATTTTCAGTAGCCTTCGGAATATCTAACCTGCTATTTTTGGAAATCGCATTCTTCCTACTCCTAGCAACCCTAACATTTTTCTTTCTTTTCAACTTCTAAATTCTCTAATTCTTTACTAAAATCATCTGTTTCCTTCTTCAAAGCCTTACCTCTCCTCGGCGGATTCCTCCTCCGGCTCTCCTGTACCACCGGCACCTCCTCTGCGACACCTCCACCGCCATCTATTTTGATCAAGATCGACGTAGTCTCTCCCAGCTTCACCGTATCGCCGTCTCTGAGATCAAAAGGAGTATCGGCAGGTAGTAAATCGGAATTAAGAGTCGTGCCGTTAGAGGATCCGAGATCTCGAATGACCCACTTACCAGATCCGTATTCGATGGTGAGGTGCTTAGAGGAAATGCCGGCGTCTTTGATCGGCAGGTTGTTGCCACGCACAACTCGCCCGATCCGGATAGCCGTTCCGGGTTGGTATATGATAGTTTCACCTTTTCGTGGACCTTGAACAATCATTAGAGTAATCGGCGGTGGATCCATTTTTCACGCTCCGGCCAGAAAGGAAGAGACGGCAGTTCTGTGGTGCGGCGCCTAAAAAACGGTTAATATACGGCGTGACCGGTTAAACAAGTGACCGGTTAAAATTTAGACCGGTTATGTTATATTATTTAACCGAAATATTATAAAGTACAATAACATACTAGGTAGCGCTTATATAATGTAATAGGTAGCGCTTATATTTACCTATTTTATAAGTAAACCGGTATATTTATACCGATAGCATTGCAAATTTACCTATTACATTATATTATATTGAAAGTGTCCATACTTTTTATAAAAAGGATCGATACTTTAACAGTGTTTCATGTTTTCCACCTACAATATTAATTTAATAATTTCATTTGCACAAAAAATTATTTGATTGTTTTGATATTTTATAAAATAATATTTAGAATTTTTAATTTAATAATAATATATATCGTAACGTAAAAAATAAATCATTAGACGCCTATAATTACTAAATTAATATCTTAAAACTCACTCAAAAAATAACCTTAAATTAATGTTTTCCACAGTGAAAAAAGTATGGACACTTTTATAAAAAGGATACACTTTACAATATAACCACTACCTATTACATTATATAAACGATACCTATTACATTATATAAGGGCTACCTATTACATCATATGTTTACCTATTATATTGAAAGTGTCCATACTTTTTATAAAAAGGATCGATACTTTTTTTAAAAGTTATGTAATTTATGTTTCAATTTTTTTAACAGTGTTTCATGTTTTCCACCTACAATATTGATTTAATAATTTCATTTGCACAAAAAATTGGTTGATTGTTTTGATATTTTATAAAATAATATTTAGAATTTTTAATTTAATAATAATATATATCGTAACGTAAGAAATAAATCATTAGACGCCTATAATTACTAAATTAATATCTTAAAACTCACTCAAAGGATAACCTTAAGAACACTTGAAGAAGCAAGAGAACAACTATCAAAGCAATCAAAAACGAGAAAATCCCAACATGATAACAACTGAACATATCATATCAATGTTCAAACTCAAGTTGTAGATTTTGATTTCCTTTTGCTTGGCATCATATGAGATTTGGATTTTGATTTCCTTTTGCTTGGCACCATATGAGCTTTGGATTTTGATGAGCATCGGAAGTATTTCAGACTTATGATTTGGGTGGTACTCAACTTATGATTTTAGTTGCTATTTGTTACATTTCTTGTATACCACCCAGATCATACGCCCGAAACGTTTCTGACGCTTTAAAGTTGACCAAAAAATAAAATGGTCGGGATTTCCCTCGCGTTTATACGTTGGAAAAAAAAACAATGGAAATTAGGAATAATCAATGATAACATGCATATTGGCTTGGGCTAATATTTATAGTGGAGCCGAAATATATATTGAAATTCAAACTCAAATTGAAATTTAAATTCAAACTCCAATTACATATGAAATGAATTTGAAATGCAGTGTTAAATTGAACATGAAAATTGCATAATTGATTCATACTGTTCAAGTAACATGCTTTATGAACCATCAAGCTAAAAGACAATATTGATTGAGTTCAAAGCTGAGTTGTGAGTTGATGGAGTTGTCACACTTGTCACATGGTTGGAATAAAGTACTCACATGCGAGATAGATTGTTTTGTTATACATAACCCATCTCAACGAAATTAATCCAATGAAAAAGAGTTATTTCTAACAAAGTCCGGAACATTATTTTTCCAAATAATGTACCCATAACAATGTTCAATTAATGTACCCACAACAATGTTTAATTGATTTGTTGTTTAATTTTCAATTTGAATTATTTGATTGTTTTGATATTTTATAAAATAATATTTAGAATTTTTAATTTAATAATAATATATATCGTAACGTAAAAAATAAATCATTATACGCCTATAATTACTAAATTAATATCTTAAAACTCACTCAAAAGATAACCTTAAATTAATGTTTTCCACAGTGAAAAAAGTATGGACACTTTTATAAAAAGGATAGACACTTTACAATATAACCACTACCTATTACATTATATAAACGATACCTATTACATTATATAAGGGCTACCTATTACATCATATGTTTACCTATTATATTGAAAGTGTCCATACTTTTTATAAAAAGGATCGATACTTTTTTTAAAAGTTATGTAATTTATGTTTCAATTTTTTTAACAGTGTTTC